AAAAATTGTCCGAAGTTTAAAGGAAAAGTCATTTAAATCACATTAAATAAATAAATAAATTTATTCAATTTAAAACCTTTTTTTTTCCTTCAAAACAATATTATATTATTACCCTGCCTTATCCGATTTCATCTTTCTTAAATAATTAAAAGTGAAAATGATAAATATTATCTGAACAGAAAAAAATATTTTTTTACAATTTTTTTTTCAATTCAAATTTTTAAAAATTTTGAATTGATTCTCTATTTCTGCTATTGGTGATTTTTTACCATATAAAAGAGCTTAAAATTAAGCAAACGATAAATGAGTTTGAGTTTACTTTTCTAATGTTACTTTTACAATTTTTTTTTAAAAATTATTATGCTTTAAAAATTTTAATCCTGAGATTATTCAGTTATAAATAGATTAATAATTGTGATAATGGACAAAGACATATAAGCAGTCATTGTTCATGCTATTTCTCATTTTTTAATCATTTAGATCAGACTGTGCAATAAAAAAAATCTAGAAATATTTATCTAAGGTTATTTAATGTTAATATATAAAAAAAAAACTAATAAAAAAATAAATTAAATCATAAATATTATATAGTTTAATCAGTACTGAGTGTTTGTGATGGGAGAGAAAACAAACATAATTATTGATGATATTGTAAAAATATATTTTAGTGCTTGATAAGACCCTTTGGCTGGGCGGCAGAAACATTAAAACGCAGAGCACAGTTTCTGTGACTCTTTTTAGGTAGAACTATGTCACATGTGGCCTATATAGCACCAAAGTTACATATACTATGCCGCCCTGATCTGCATCTTAAATCACATTTGTATAAATCAAATAAAAATAACATCCTCCTATATTCATGTTCTATTTATCAATGTAATTAACGTCCTACTGTAATATAATCATTTTTGGTACACGAAAGCTCAAAAGATAATATTTTTATAAAAAGTAAATTTTAAAACCAGATTTTGGTAAACAAGATTTCCTATTGCGTGGCCATAGGGCTAATATAAGAAGCATTAAGAAAAGTCTATCAAAGTTATTAAAACAAAGAGATATTTAAATCATAAATTTATGCTTAGGTTATTATGTACTGATATGGAATACCTTCATTATTTTCAGTGATAATGTCTCCAACCATTTACATTTTGAAAAAAAAAAAAAGCATTTTTTTCTGTCATTTGACTGTTGACAGTTTATTAATGATTGTATAGCCTAGTTTAATTTGCGCAATTAAATATTATGTCGAAACACTACTTATTTTATATAGCATTCTAGACTTGGAAACTGCGCTGAACTAGGAAAATTATATAAAAAATATGTCAGTTCCTCAACAGTCCATGAAGGACCTAACGGAGAGGTATTGGTGCAAGTGCTGCGACATCCATTATTGCAAGAAAGTATTGTGTCTTAACTACTTGGTACCTAATCTTTAATAAGTTTTCAAATAAAATGATAATATTATTTCTTTCTTCCTCGGGATGTTAAACTACAAATAATTTTATGAAGTAAGTACATTAGCGATGTGCTTGTGACTCAGGTTTTGTTTTTTCCACTTTATTTTTAATCCTGTTAATCTTATGTTTAACATAAAGATAGATTACATCCTAATTTGAAATAACAATTTCATCTTTTCCTTTCCCTTCAATGATTCTCAGCGTAAGGGTGTATCCAGCCATCACAACCAGCATCACGGTCCCTCGTGAGTGTTCTCATTTCTCTGAGTGTCTCATTGTCTTCCCTCTTGAGCCTTCTAACATGAATATGTGGTATTCGTAAGACAGTTGAGGTCTATTCTTAGTTCTTTTTCCTGCAGTCATGACCATACTGTTTTTCTCTAGTATTTGTCCCAATGATTCAACGTCTATCTCTTCTCTAATTCTGTCATTTCATGTGTAATCTAGTCTTGTTTTTCCCACCACTCTTTGGAGATACCTTATTTCCATTGTGGTTATTTTATTTCTATGTCTGTCTAGTGTTATCCAGCTTTCACTATCATAAAGAAAAGTTGGAAGGTATGCTGTATTATCCATCCTTAATTTAACGTCCTTTCTAATTTTCCTCTTAGCCACGATGGAGTTGCAGATTTGGAAGTAAATAACTAAAAGTTAAGATCTCACTTCTTTGAAATAGAGTCCAGCGAATAGAAGTTAAAAACAAATACCACAACGAATCGCTTCCCACAATCATAATCTTCTTTGCTTGGTAGAGGGCATCATTTATCTATTAAGCATAAGTCTGTTAAGTTTTTCGGATTGCTTTTTTTAATGAAGCATCTTTTATTATATAAATATTTGTATAGTTATAACTATGATAATTTTCCGCCTATGCTATAGTGTGGGTGCCGCAGTAATTCATGCTGTTTCATTTCTCATTGACCTACGTTATAGCGAGGGCTGACTATACTTATATTGACGGTATTAATTAGTCATACTTTTAAAGAAAAGTTTATTTAACTTATGATTGATTATTTTTGTTATGTTTATTTGTTATGATGGTACTTAACCTGTTAGCAATGATAAGCAGGGAGAGAGGAGCGATCTTGAGTTTGCGTTAGCTGACAGGTTTTCCTGAGACGGAGTACTCTTCATCATCTCTACTCCAGCACTTTAGCCTTTTTATTTACGGCATCGTTCTAAACTTTTTTATTTAGTTTTTTTTATCTAACTTTTATACACTTAATAGGAAGGGCACAGGATAGTTTGAAAGTAGTATTCATCGCCGAGCATTCCGTCATTTAAAAAGAAATAGCCCAACAGGCTTTGAATCATATATGAGGCTACTATTGCCTGGGCCCATTTTCCTCTACTCATATATGAATCCACCATCGCGAAAGGTTTAAGAATTGATGCAGCTGTTTAAAATATCAAATTTAGCCTATTTTCTGTTTTGTAGGAAGTTCTCCTGTTTTATTTTTTTTCTATATTGAAAAATAAAATTATTTTTATTTATTTATAATATGATTTTAGAATGTTTTGTTTTTCTTGAGCTTATCTTGACATCACTTAACTTTATATGAAGGATGTCATTAAAGATTACATTATCATTCCACTTATCTAATGCTAATTTTTATTTTTTTTAATGTTTTGTGCTATCTGAAATGTAGCTTCATTTTTATTCCTATTTAAAGCTTTCCCTGCTTTGATAGTAATACTAACTCTTATCCTTAAATTATTAACTTTTATTTTTTTTAGTGTTTGATTTTTATTTTAAAATTAAATACAAACATACTGAAAATTAAATTACACTTTTTGAAATTGTTAGGTTTTTTTTTTTTTATGAAATATGTCATACTTAAAAGAATGCATAGTCATTTAGTCTTTACTCTTTAGGGTATCCATGCCTTCCTATTCTAAAAAAAAAAAAAAACTATTTAAAAACCTGTTTTATTAAATTCAGTTAAAATTGGATGTTTTTTCCAGATGCAGCATGTTTAACAGTCTTGAACTCCTTGAAGATTAGGAAAAGTGCTTAAATTGTTCTTATCTGGAATAATACTTGAAAAATTTCAGTTCATCGACCATTTTCAGTTTTTATTTTAATAATTTCTTCATTAGTTATTGGTAACAAGCTTAGAAAATGTAGGGAACGGGATGAATTTCATAATTGTTACATGACTCACTCTCCCTGCTATATAATAAACTGGAGAAATTATGGACCAGAATGTATTAACTCAACCATTTATGCTGTATTTTTCAGTTGTTATTATTTTTGGAAAAGCGTTGAGCCCTCAGTGTAAGAAATTAGCTCATCTTCATGTACAATTTTTCTAAAGTTTAGTTAATCACAAACTATTATTTATTTTAAAACAACTGTTAACAAAAATGCTTCAGGATTTAAGGATACAATGATAAACTGCATTATTTTTTTAATCAAAATGTAAATGGTTGTAAACACAATTGCAATTAACTAATATTAATTTCAATTACATTAAAATCAATATTTTTCATTATTTATTGAAACGCTTTGTACTGGGTGTGACGTGTATTATTTTATTTTATTAATTCTTTGTTTGCTATATATTTATATTTTTGTTATTTATTATTTTTTATCACCTATTTTTTATTTATTCGATTATTTTTATACTTTTAATTTTTTTTTTTTTAGATATTTGCACAATTTCAATATTTCTTTTTATGCATGCAGGGTTTCGGTTTTATTTAGCATTTATTTTCCCAATGAACAAATTTGGTATATGAAAAGAATTTAATTGTTTTTTTATTGAAAAGAAAATTAATAATATAATATTTCGAATTTGTTGCTTTTAAATTTAATGATCTCATTTGATATGGCTAATCAATACAATGTCATGTTGATGTATTAATATAAAGAATATATGTAAAAGCTATCTTAATCTGTTTTCGCTTAATAGCGTTCATTTAATTAATTTAATATATTTGGCTTATTTATTTTTCTTGTTTTATTAATAGACTCTTTGAAACATATATTTAATTTGGTTAAGACTATTGTTAAGTCCTCAGTACCTAAGATTAGCTTGCAAATAAAACCTATTATAATTTTTAAATAAATAGTTACCATTTGCATGAAGTGTTTTATTTATTTCAATCACTAATTTTTATTTTTTTATTTTACTTATTAGCAGAAAGTGTTACTTTGTTTTGATATTTGGATGTAAAGTTCGATGTGGTAGGTATAATTATGTTTAATTTGCATTTATAATTTTATTAGTCGCTTATTAATGCTTTGCATGTCCTTGTGGCTAATGCTGTTGTTTATAACACTCGTCTATTATCATTGGATTATGCGCAACTGTTTTTTACCACTTAACTGAGGTTTTTTCGGAAATAGAAGAAACCTATTATTGTCGCACAATTATCAATAAATATTTAATTGTAAAAAATTTGTATTAATTTTTTTTATTTGTTACATTGTTAAATCTCTAAAGCCTTTAGTGATTACGTTTCATTAGAGGTATCTGAGAAAATCTTAGCCTCGGTATATGACAGTTCGCATACTGACGTTTGCCTTTTTGCTTGCAGGTGAGAACAAACCGATATGGCAAGTTGCTGAGGAGCGAGAAGAAAACAAGCATAGGAATAAAGACAACGCACCGTACGGGGAATACGGTGGTTGGCACAAAGCCGCCAAGGTGGATTCTCCTACCGTCACTACTACCCTCAAGAACCTGGGCGCACTGTACAGGAGGCAAGGAAAGTACGAGGCTGCCGAGACCCTGGAAGACTGTGCCCTTAGGTCTAGAAATGAGGTGAGTTCTACACTACCGCCATCCGTAGGCTTGGTAAGTATTCACATTCTATAACTACGCTCAGCTTGATACAAAAATGTCTGTTTTGACCCGAGCTGTAATTCCTCTAAGTTATGCTAGACCACCTGTATTCTGTATTTCGCTTAATATTATTTTTGTTTCATATTTGCTTCTTTTATATTATTGAGATGTATATACTATAGCATTAGATTGTACAATGTTTCCCATAATTTCTTTGTACTTTTATTATTTAATATGTTATTGGAAGATTCTGAAGTAAAGCCTTAATTCTCTCAAATACCAGTCAATAACAAACCATCCTACATTTCACCATTACATTCCCATCTTTACTCCTCTACTTTATCTCGATAAACCCCCCTCCCCCATCCATTTTCTCTTCATAGCCAAAAACCTGACCTTTAATCAGGACCTCTCTTGGAATAATCATGTCTACCAGTTATATATATTTGAAACAATTTAAGCTAAAAATACTGATCTGTTAATAAATAAAATTTGTTTAATCAATTCGCAGAAAGCTTTGTAACGCTGTTTTGAGCGAACGGCTCGATCGGTTTTTAAGTTCAATGGCTCAAATTATTCAATAAGATCTCCTGAGTTTTTGTAACACTTTGAGCTCAAAATTCTGGCAAATTACTGAGAAAAGTGTATTTAATCAATCCACTAAAAGATACGTAAAGACTTTTTGAGTGGATGACATGACAGATTTTTAACTTTGACGGCTGTAATTACTCAGTTAAATCCCGTGAATGTTTAGAATCAATTTGACCTCAAAATACTGAGAAAAAAATGTATTATATTTTAAGTATCTCGATTATACATTTATTAAATTATTCACTTCTCGATTATTCATCGACTTGGTGTAAGAGTCAGGTGCCTACCACCCCAAAAAAAAACTCAAAGGCTCTTTTGGATTGACTCTTGACTCGGACTCTTAACATGTACTGATACATGGAACGAAATCTATTTGCTAGGAGCTGTAATCTGTAATGAAAGACATCCGACTATTACATCAAGTATCAAAAGTACATCAATGTCGATTTCCCTGTCAATCTACTAAGATGTTTAAGTAGCTATGGAAGTCAGGGTGGTGACCAACCTAGAAAACCTGGAAGAATGGAAAAGTCAGGGAATTTTCAAAATAGGAAGAAGTCAGGGAATTTTTATAGTACATAAATATTTTTTTCAAATAAGAAATAAATATACTGTGAATAGCGTTTATTGAAGAGGAAACTTTGTCGTTATAAATGACCACAGTCGCTATATTAATCCACCAATCAAACAAGAGTAATGAATAAAATTTAAGCAAAATCGACTTCAAACAGTGCTTTTTTGAAAAGAAAAAAATACCAATACTATTTACTATTTGTTATATATACATCTGGGTCAAGATCTAGCAGGCAAGCACTCATACATACGACCCGTGGTGCTTCTTAAAAGAGCATTTTTTTTAACCAGAAATTGAATAGTTGGTGTGTGTCATATTGGTAATTATTACGCTGTTTACAGTAATATGGTGTGTGTCATATTAGTAATTATTACGCTGTTTACAGTAATAAGGAAAATAAATTACTTATGAGGAATTACATTAATATTAGGATCCCTCTTAGCTCATTTTATTTTATAATAAAGAAAATAATAGCTTTATATGTCAAGCGTCATCTTTTACCTCCTCTCAGTTTAAATAAAATAAAAGTGATAAAAATAAATTAATAAACATTTAGTTTTCAAAAATAAAAAAATCAAAAGCTTAAACAATTCTTCCTCTAAAATATTATATTCGTTATTTAAAAGCCTGATTTTTTTTTTTTTTTACTCAAATCATTTTGTAGTCAATTTTCTTTTGTGTATGACAAATAAATTTAGTTATAAATTATATATTTATGATACTATTGTTCCCAGACATACCGATCAGGGAAAACTATCGTTAAATAGTGAAATGTCAGATAATTTTATTTAAAATGTCTGGTAGCCACCCTGGAAGTACATTTCCTTAAAATGGATAAAATTTCCCAATTTCCATAGTCTATTTTTTTTTTTACTATTACTGTAAACAAAAAGTTAATTTTTTATATTCATATTTTTATGGTTCCCCTCTACTCTTGAATCGTACAGCATTTTTCTCTTCTATTGAAGGAAGTTAGTCGACTTTTCTATATATCATGGGTGATAGATAATCAGGACGCAGTCAGTTTATTAAGATTTTTTTTTGCCGAACTTACAACCTAAACATGTGGTCATCGTATTATAACAACTAAAGGTGTTCATGTACTAATACTGTACTGTATTTATTTTTTTAGTCTTGTATAGACTACAAATGGGAGCTTTGCTATTTTTACTCTTATATATGTTATATTACCATTTCCTAAATGAAACCTGAATGGGCACTACCTCCTCTGGTTAGTTATTTACTGCTATTTGAGAAAGTTTAAGCTTTTTTCTGTAATCTTAAAATAATATCCTCTACTATTTAATTTTAAAATATTTTTTTAGGCCGGTATTGAAAAAATTAACTTCAAACATATTGAAATTTATCAGTTTACTTTTTTCATTCTCGGCTTGATATTTAGATCAAGTCTATTGAACATTATTTTATTCATATCCTAAATAAATTATTGATTCAAAACCTTTTTTTAACTATATTGTTTCAAATGATATTGACCAATAAACATTATACTTACTAATACATTTTCCTGAAAATATTAGTAGTAGCTATTAAGATATGCATTCTTGATAGTTGAAAGTAGGTTTATTGCATGTTATTGTGGTACCATGTAGGCAGTATTAATGTATTTTGCACCTGTCAAAGTATCACCTGCTTTTGTGTACGATCATATTGAGTATATTTTTTTTTCTTTTTAATTTTGTTTATTGGATATTTCTATGAATTACGTGATGGTCTTTGGGGGCTGTTAACTCTCCATTAATGTTCAAGAATGTATAAATATGTGGTGGTCACATAAACTTCTCCCATTTTTTTCTGTGGTTCCTAGGGTGAGTGGATCAGCAGCTAAGCTTTAACAGTGTCCAATATTTTAAGGCCTAGGTTCACTCATGTAGGATCCTCTATTTTTCAATTAAAATTCTTAACATTATTTTTAATTATTAGTCCGCGGTACAGAACCCTTTTTATCAAATTATTAACATCCGCCTGAAACTTCGTAAATAGTTTCATCACATCGTAACCTACAACTATTTTATTTACTAAAACTCTTGCAATTGAGGCGTTTTCAATCTGGAGGGGGGCAAACTTTGTCTATTTAATTACGTACTAAAAACTCGTAAATACCCATTTGCTTTATACTTCGATAAATCGATAAAAAAAGGTGGCCTACAAAAATATTGGGCCGTTTGTACTATATAAACTTGTTATTTTGCAAATTTGGAGGTGTAGGTCACGCCAAACGGCCCAATATTTTTGAAGGCCAACTTTTTTCTCGATTTTGGGATTAAATTATCTTACGATCCAAGTTGAAAGCAAATAGGTATTTACGAGATATTAGTACGTAATTAAATAGACAAAGTTTTTCTCCCTCCAGATTGAGAACACCCCAATTCCAAGAGTTTTTGTAAATAAAATAGTTGTAGGTTACGGTGAGATGAAACTATTTACGAAGTTTCAGGCAGATGTTGATAATTTGATAAAAAAAGGTGCCTGTACCACGGACTACATACAATAATATCTTCTCTGTCTATATATGTATAGTTAAAAATTGGATATTAATATTTTTGTTCCAAGTTTCTTACACGATTTCTTAACTATTAGTTTACAGAAATAATATTAAATTTTAATCTTTTATAGTATATTTTTTCAATAATAAGACAACAGGAAATTATAATAATTAATATATTATAATTATAATAATTACCAATTATTTACTTAAGAATCTTAAGTTAAGATCAGGAATTGAATTTTACAATTGTTTTCTCTTGAAAAAATAAAATCAACTGAATAAATTTTAATAAATGTACATAATATAATATTAATAATGTCTACATGAATTTTTTTTTTTTCTTAAAATATATATTTGTTCACATGTATATTAGATTCTTATGTAAAGCATTGTTAATTATTATAATTACAAAATATATATATATATATTTTTTTTTTTTATTTGTATTCGCCTCTACCCTAGAGGGTCATTGGCGGTTTTTCTTAATTTCTATAGTAAAATATAAAAATTAGGAAAAACCGCCAATGACCCTCTAGGGTAGAGGCGAATAAAAAAAAAAAAAAAATTACAATATATTTTCTGTTGTTTTATTATTGAAAAAAAAAATAGACTTTAAAAGACTCAAAATTAATATTATTTCTGGAAACTAATATTTAATAAATCGTGTAAGAAACTTGGATCAAGAATATTAATATCCAGTTTTTAATTTTAATTATTTGTTATTTACATTAAACTGTTATTTACTGTTTAGAAAAATGGAATTATTATTATCCTTTTGAAAATCAACTAAATTGTTTAAATGTGGCAGTTTTTGTCTTGTGCAGTTTATTCTTCGTTATTATTCAATATTTGGGTTCTGGTGGTGGAATAAAATATTTTTTTCCTTTTTATGGTATGTAGATCCTTATCTGATATAAAATTAGATATTTTGGATCTGTTTAAAAACTCTTTACTAGTGTCTTAACGAAAACATGTTTATTATAAACTTCCAATTTTGAATGGCATGAGTTTTTATTTAGATTAAAAATAATCTAGCATCTTATTTTTTCTTATGCACTTTCTTCGGCACAAAATAGAATTATTTAATAAGAATTTGTTGCCATAGAAAAATGGATTATACTAGATATTTAAGGATGATAATTGTTTACAAAATAATAATAATAAATGCTTAGGGGACTTGAATAGTCAGACTAATACCATCTTGTAGGGAATACTCAGCAATAATCATGCCCCTTTGGCTCTGCTTTTTCATCTTTCTTGTTTTCTTTGTTTGTTTTTTTGTTTATTTATTTAATGATAAAAAAGTACAAGGTGAGTTTATGTTTAATATTAAATTTTCAT